CTTGTCTAGTTTATAGGTTTTGTGTTATTAATATCCTCCTCAAGATTTTTTAAGCATTTTAATTTGTAGTACAATAAATTATTAATGAAACCTGCTCTAGGGTCGATGCGAGTCGGGTGCGGAATTCATATCGCCCAGCAATGGACAGGATTCATGCCCTGTTCACCTTATTGGTGGGAGAAAACTCTGTCCCCTGCGCCATCACAGCTCCGATATAGATTCCTGTCTAGTTTTTAGGTTTTGTGTTATTAATATCCTCCCTCCTCAAGATTTTTTAAGCATTTTAATTTGTAGTACAATAAATTATTAATGAAACCAGCTCTAGGGTCGATGCGAGCCGGGTGCGGAATTCATATTTCCCAGCAATTGACAGGATTCGGGCCCTGTTCACCTCATTGGTGGGAGAACACTTTGTTCCCTGCGCCATCTCAGCTCTGATATAGGTTCTTGTCTAGTTTATAGGTTTTGTGTTATTAGTATAGTCTTCAAGATTTTTTAAGCATTTAATTTGTAATACAATAATTTATTAATGAAACCAGCTCTAGGGTCGATGCGAGCCGGGTGCGGAATTCCTATCGCCCAGCAATTGACAGGATTCGGGCCCTGTTCACCTCATTGGTGGGAGAAAACTTTGTTCCCTGCGCCATCACAGCTCTGATATAGGTTCTTGTCCAGTTTATAGGTTTTGTGTTATTAATATCCTCCCTCCTAAAGATTTTTTAAGCATTTAATTTGTAATACAATAATTTATTAATGAAACCAGCGCTAGGATCGATGCGAGCCGGGTGCAAAATTCGTATCGCCCAGCAATTGACAGGATTCGGGCAATGTTCACCTCATTGGTGGGAGAAAACTCTGTCCCCTGCGCTATCTCAGCTCTGATATAGGTTCTTGTCTAGTTTATAGGTTTTGTGTTATTAGTATCCGCCTCAAGATTTTTAAGCATTTTAATTTGTAATACAATAATTTATTAATGAAACCTGCTCTAGGGTCGATGCGAATCGGGTGCGGAATTCATATCGCCCAGCCATTGACAGGATTCATGCCCTGTTCACCTTATTGGTGGGAGAAAACTCTGTCCCCTGCGCCATCACAGCTCTGATTGTTATTGTCTAGTTTATAGGTTTTGTGTTATTAATATCCTCTTCAAGATTTTTTAAGCATTTTAATTTGTAATACAATAATTTATTAATGAAGCCACCTCTAGGGTTGATGCGAGCCGGGTGCGAAATTCATATAGCCCTGCCATTGACNTAGTCATCATCTGTATTTGAACCCGGCTCACCTCATTGAAAGCTGATCGCTCTATTCCTTCAGCCATCATGTCATTAAAACAATGTCTTACATATTGCCTTGAAATATACCAATTGTGCATTTTAGTTTTTATTATTTTTTTTACTAGTATCATATTAAAACACGCCATGAATATCTGAAACTCTGAGTGACAATTAAGTATAAAACTATACTTTGCAAGGTCTTAAATTTGGTAATGTGTAAAAGACAACATAGTGAAAAAATACTTAATTGATCAGATCTTAGAAATTCAGATCTTAGGTTCCCTATCTGTAACTTAGCAAAACAAAAAATTTCAAAGCTCTTTTAAAAAAAAAGTATTTAAGTTCTTTTTTGCAAATTGTTCAATACTTTATATATACATTTTTTCATTCTGTTAAGCGTTATTAACTAATTATCCCACATCAACGTGACTAATTCATTTCGTCGATACAATTGTTCTTTACTATAAGGTCTTAAATTTTTAACAAAAAAGTGCTCAAGAGTTCTTTCTTTAAAAAAGAAAAAAAAGATAAATGTTTACTGATTCTGAAATAGATCTTAATTGGTTTCAAAAAGATTAAAATAAAAATACCGTCTTCCAAAATATTTACAAAAATTGAAGTATCTAGGAAGTTCTTTTTTTATATTTTCTTTTTACGCCACATTACGAAAATAAAGAAATTTTAATTTGAACTTTAAATCAAGTAACTAAAAATTGCAATGTCTAATTCTTTTCAAAATAACTTTGTTCAAGAAATTTTTTAGCTGCTTTAAATAAAAATTAGGTGACCGCAAATATAGTATTTTCAATGTGAGGCCAAATTCATAAACTTAGCTAATAAGGTAAAATGTATTAATTTTAAACTTGTGTAATTTTTTTAAATAATTCCTTCCTTGAAATGTTTGACACCTCTTTTCAGATATAAGTAGTTGGGATAAAAATTGTACAGAAGCAGCTAAAAAATTATCAAGAGGAATAACGTTTAAAAAAAGTATGATAGTTGTAGTTCATTTACGTCGCTCTAGAGCTGCACAATGGGCTATTGGCGACGGTCTGAGAGTTATCTCAAAAAAAAAAATTATGATAATAGAATATAAACTTGTCAAATCTAATATTTTTAATGATAAAACTTTTTAATGGGTATTTTGCATTATTAGTGTCATCCATCTATTAAGATTCAACTCTCTCCCATTTCGAATAAATTATGAATTTCTAATTTTGTATGATTTTGAAAGTTCTGAATACTGAAGCACTTAAAGGTGCTTATTTCTGATTTTTGTTTTCTAAAAGCCCTTATAGGTAATTTATTTTATTGGGTGTTGTTAAAAAATTGCTTAATTTTCTTTTTTCGAAAATGAGATTATTTTTTCTTTACCAATTTTGCCACGCGTAACGCAAAAGCATACTTTTCACATAGTTTTCTTAGTCAACGTTTTCTCAATTCTGTCAACCACAATATATTTCGGTGTACTGTCAGTCCGTAGCCTATGAAAGCTCCAACCATTTTATATATTTCATGAAATACTTCACGCTGGGTTCGGGGTAATTCTTGCACTCTCATTTCAAATCAAATTCAATTAAAAGGAAATTGCATTCCTGACTTGCATCATATTCGACAAGAAGACAACATATTCGTCAATATTTAAGCAAACAAAAAACCGATAATTTTCGTGCAGAAAATGTTTGAGGCCTTCTAATCACATTTTTAAAAAAAAATAAGAACTTTCATTGCGGAAAAAAATGCTCGATATAAGTGAATTAAAATAATTTTTCTGCTGAAATCATTTAAAATCTTCACGCAGACTTACCAAAAATAGGTTGAAAAATTTTAATAAATGAATTGTAAATAATAATGTAAACTTTAACGTCCTGATAGGAAATGATATTTTCTAATAATGATAATAAAACCATTTCGAGATTAATCCCCTGTAGTATTAAATAAATAAACGTTAAATTGAAATGACTGGATGATAAATAGTATATTACCCATTTAAAATAAAACAGTTACTAAATAAATCTCAATGTAGCGAAAATTTAAATGTATTGAACAGCGCGTAAACCTTGCCCAAAATGCAGCAAAAAAAATAAACTAAATGTTTCTGTTTTGTTTATAAATAGTTCAGTAGAATTTTTTGTCGTATCTTCGAATATGATTTAATTTTGAGTGAAAAAAGATGAAATTAGTGAATTATTGATGCAAATGTTATATTGAAGCGTCTAAGTAATAAATGATTCGCAATCAAAATAAGTTGAGCAAATAAAAATTTGTAAGTACAAAGTAAAGTAAAACGTAAAAATAAAAATTGCGCACAGTAATGCATAAAGTGAAGCGAAAATATAAGGTGTAAAAAGTAAAATATTTAATGAAGTAGAATATGAGTTTAGTACAATGAAGTAAAAAAAAAGCTTAAATTGAAACAAAACATAAAATATTAAACAGAAATTATAGCAGAGAATAAAGAGTGGTAAAATGTGAACTATCAGGAAAAGTTAAAGCGTTTAAAATATGAATTATAATGTAAAGTGGTACGTAAAAAGTGAGGTAAAGTGAAGGAAAAAGTAAATTTTTTAAAAAAAAGCGCAAGTAAAAAATACGGAGTTAAATAAACATGAAGTAAAAATCTGAAAGTACAAAAAGTATATAAAAAAGTTAAGCATAGTAGAAAGCATAGCTTAAAAAAATGGGTAAAATATTAAGAAACGTGTAAAGCAAATAAAGATAAATTCAAGTGAAGAGTATATACAGTAAAGTGTAAAATAAAGCATTAACTATAAAATTGAATATCAAATAATATAAAGCAAAAAATATGAAAAACTATCATGTAGAGAATAAAATAAAGCTTAAAGTATAAAACAATGCTTAAAGTAAAAATTATATTAAAATGTAAAATATAGTTAAAGAAGACTCTAAAATATAATGTAGTGAAAAATACAGCATAGTTTAAAGTAAAGTATGAAATAGAAGCGTCAAGTAAACAAAGCATAAATAAAAGTATGAAGTAAAATAGAATGTGAAGTATAAATTAAATCATAAAATGCAAAGTAAACAACTAGTAAAGTAATGCGTAAAGTAAAAAGTGGAAAGCATAATGTAAAAATTGTATAAACTAAAAAGTAAGCGTAGAATTAAATGTAAAATAAAATGCGTGTCAAGTGGAAATTAGAAGGTTAAGTAAAACGTGAAGTATAAATTACAGTGTAAGATAAAAAGTAAAGCATAAAACATAAAGTGAAGCTTAATGTAAAATAACCAAATCTCATCTTTTACTTAAGTAAGAAAGTAACAACGCACTATCTTGCTCTAATTTTGGCTCTTACTGAAGTAATCTAATTTATAGAATTCAAATAAACAAGGTAACTTTTCAAAAATTTAAATTAGTAGATATTTCAATTCATTTTAGTGAAGAGTATTCATTATTTCTGTTTTTCTGTTAAAAATCTTGATCTATGAAACACGTAACAGCAATTGTTGGCCAACTTTTATTTTAAATTTGTTAATTAAGTCATTTTAATTGCTATTTTTTAAAAGAAAAATTTAAAAAAAAATAATGTGATTTAAATGTCTTACGCAGGCGTGGCTCATATCCCATCTGCCACTTGTCAGAAAGAGAAAAAAAAATCACAAACCCCTACCTCCTTTATGTCCTTGCATAATGCTTGAAAGATCCCTATAATGTGACATAAGTATTAATGTAATAATAATAAATATGTGATGTTTTTTCAGCTTTCGAAAACTTCATGAAGTACAAATTCAACGATGATTCGACATCTTAGCTTTTTAGAGGTAAGTAATATAAAAGAATGTTTAATAATTTTCATGTTCATATGAACCAACATTTATATAAATTTTCAAGAAAACAAAGAGCTATATAAATAAAGACATCAAAACTCATTTCGTATACTAAAAAGAATTTGCGTCCAAAACTTAGCCTAGACGACAACTTATATGTCAAAAACTCAAACAATAAAACAATTGTTTTCGTTCAGAAAATTTTTGTAGACCTTCCAATCAAGTTAAATCAATTTAAAAAAAGGGAAGGGCTACGCAAAAAATTTACGCAATTCGGGCCCTGTTCACCTCATTGGTGGGAGAAAACTCTGTCCCCTGCGCCATCACAGCTCTGATATAGGTTCTTGTCTAGTTTATAGGTTTTTTGCTATTAATATCCTCCTGAAGATTTTTTAAGCATTTTAATTTGTAATACAATAATTTATTAATGAAACCAGCTCTAAGGTCGATGCGAGCCAGGTGCGGAATTCATATCGCCCTGCCATTGACAGGATTCGGGCCCTATTCACCTCATTTTTGGGAGAAAACTCTGTCCCCTGCGCCATCACAGCTCTAATATAGGTTCTTTTCTAGTTTATAGGTTTAGTGTTATTAATATTCTCCTCAAGATTTTATAAGCATTTTAATTTGTAACACAATAATATATTAATGAAAGCCAACTCTAGGGTCGATGCGAGTCGGGTGCGAAATTCGTATCGCCCAGCCATTGATAGGATTCTTGCCCTGTTCACCTCATTGGTGGGAGAAAACTCTGTCCCCTGTGCCATCACAGCTCTGATATAGGTTCTTGTCTAGTTTATAGGTTTTTTGTTATTAATATCCTCCAAGACTTTTTAAGCATTTTAATTTGTAATACAATAATTTATAATTGAAACCAGCTCTTAGGTCGATGCGAGTAAATTTTTTTAAAAAATGCGTAAGTAAAAAATACGGAGTTAAATAAACATGAAGTAAAAATCGGAAAGTAGAAAAAGGGAAGTATATAAAAAAAAAACAAGCATAGTAGAAAGCATAGCTTAATAAAATGGGTAAAATATTAAGAAACGTGTAAAGCAAATAAATTTAAATTCAAGGGAAGAGTATATACAGTAAAGTGTAAAATAAAGCATCAATAATAAAATTGAATATCGAATAATATAAAGCAAAAAATATAAACTTTCATGTAGAGAATAAAATAAAGCTTGAAGTATAAAACAATGCTTAAAGTAAAAATTATATTAAAATGTAAAATATGGTAATGTAAAGAAGACTCTAAAATATAATGTAGTAAAAAATACAGCATATATTAAAGTACTGTATGAAATAGAAGCGTCAAGTAAACAAAGCATAAATAAAAGTAGGAAGTAAAATAGAATGTGAAGTATAAATTAAATTACAAAATGCAAAGTAAACAACTAGTAAAGTAATGCGTAAAGTAAAAAGTGGAATGCATAATGTAAAAATTGTATAAACTAAAAAGTAAGCGTAGAATTAAATGTAAAATAAAATGCGTGTCAAGTGGAAATTAGAAGGTTAAGTAAAACGTGAAGTATAAATTACAGCGTAAGATAAAAAGTAAAGCATAAAACATAAAGTGAAGGGTAATGTAAAATAACCAAATCTCATCTTATACTTAAGTAAGAAAGTAACAACGCACTATCTTGCTCTAATTTTGGCTCTTACTGAAGTAATCTAATTTTAGAATTCAAATAAACAAGGTAACTTTTCAAAAATTAAAATTAGTAGATATTTCTATTCATTTTAGTGAAGAGTATTCATTATTTCTGTTTTTCTGTTAAAAATCTTGATCTATGAAACACGTAACAGCAATTATTGTCCAACTTTTATTTTAAATTTGTTAATTAAGTTATTTTAATTGCTTTTTTTTAAAAGAAAAATTTAAAAAAAAAATGATGTGATTTAAATGTCTTGCGCAAGCGTGGCTCACATCCCATCTGCCACTTGTCAGAAAAAGAAGAAAAAAGTCACAAACCCCTACCCCTTTATGTCCTTGCATAATGCTTGAAAGATCCCTATAATGTTGCATAAGTATTAATGTAATAATAATAAATATGTGATGTTTTTTCAGCTTTCGAAAACTTCGTGAAGTACAAATTCAACGATGATTTGACATCTTAGCTTTTTAGAGGTAAGTAATATAAAAGAAAAGTTTAATAATTTTCATGTTCATATGAACCAACATTTGTATAAATTTTCAAGAAAACAAAAAGCTATATAAATAAAGACATCAAACCTCATTTCGTATACTAAAAAGAATTTGAGTCCAAAACTTAGCCTAGACAACTTATATGTCTAAAACTCAAACAAAAAAAAACAATTGTTTTGGTTCAGAAAATTTTTGTAGACCTTCCAAACAAGTTAAATCAATTTAAAAAAAAAGGAAAGGGTACGCAAAAAAAAAAACGCGATACATGCAAATTACAGGGTGGCTGCGAAATAGTGTTACAAATATCGAGTCATTTTGCTGTATAGATATTAAATTAAAAATGAGAAATACACAAATATGATGAACACTATAAAGGAAGTTTACCTAAAAAAATCTTTTATTCGAGCAGATCTCCATCTTTATCGATTACTAAAGATAATCTCTTGTGCCATTGTCCGATGGCGGCCCGAATAATTTTAAGAGGTAATGGGTCCCATTCACACAATAAAAAAGCTATGGGTCTGTGCATTCACTTTAGACTCTAAAATACCCCAAACGCAATAGTCTTTCCCCAACCTTCTTATCACTGCGGACCAATCAACGTTAAGTAATTTTACCACTGTGGAGGGGGTCGTATATTATTTTGATTTATTAATTTTAATTTAATTGTATTTAAACATGCCTTTATAATAAAATACAGTTACACCAAAAAATAAATATAAAGTGATTTAACATTTTAACTTACTAGAACGTTAAATCAATGAGAACCCTGAGCTTGTTTCTTTGCAATGAGACGGTTCCATCTGCGGGTAATCGGAGACAATGATACATTACAAGTATTAAAAAATTTATGTCACTACCTTCGGGGGTCCCTTTTTTTTAAATAAATAAAATTTTAATGGAGCGAAGATATTTTTAATTTGGTGTATAAACCTAGGAATTTAAAATCAGTTTCAATGAAATGGGCGGTCGGTACCATTTGATCCGGGGGTTGGGGAACACTGGTCTAGAGGATTAAGATCTAGTGAAGAAGAGGGACAATCTTCTTGCTTAATAAATTTGAGACAATTGACATGGAACCAAGCCTATGTTATTTTGGCTTTGTGTGACGGTGCTGAATCTTTTTAAAATATCCATACCTTTTTGGTATACAATCTGTCAGCATGTGTAGCCAATACTTCCTTTTTGTAATATTCAGCATTGACTTTCGATGTTACCCCGTTATCGATGAATTTCAGAGAAAAATTTTCCGTTATTTGACACAGCAACCAAAACCATTACAGAAATCTTGTGCTGAAAGCGTTGAACAGTTCTTAAACTTTCAGGTATAGCATCGAAGGTTGCTGAATATACAACATTATTTTTAGCATTATAACTTTTTTGTGTGCAAAATATTTACACATCAGAAAAGACTATTCTGTTAACAATTTGATACTGTGCCGGTCAAGCGATTTCTTGCACCATCGTAACTTTTTTAATTTTTGAGCAGTTGTCAAACCTTGAACTTTTCTTTTGAGATAAGGGCGGAAACCCAAGTCTATATTCAACAGAACTTGCTTAGACTCTCGCTCACTTCTGCAACCATTTTATTAGTAGGGCTCTGTGGATTTTTTTGTATCTTTTCAGGAGTTTTAAAATGCTCATTTTTGTTATAAATGACCTGAGACGATCTTTACAGCTTTTAGTATCCAATAATCGATTTATAGTTCTATCTATAAATGCTCTATTATATCCAAGTGATTTTAATTGCTTGAAGATTTCTACGTGCAGAAAATCCGTGATCGAAAAGCTTTAAAAAGCTTCAGTCCTTTCGATTCCATCCTTAAATTTATTCTAAATGCTTTGCTTTATGCAAGAATCGTCTGCTCTTATAGAAAGCGCCAATCACAGGAATAGTGAGAGAGAAATTGTTTTGCCAATTGATTAAAATTAATTATTTTTTGTTGTAACTGTATTTTGTAGCTACCCTGTAAAATGATTAAATTTCCTGCTGGAAATCTTCGAAATCTTGGCGAGGACTGAAGAAAAATTAAAAAATTTTAATCAATGAATTATAGGTAATTAGTTAATTGTAACAAGTCCTGATAGGGAACTGTGCTTTCTAATAAAGAGAATAAAACCATCTCGAGATTAATCACCTGTAGTATTAACACGTTGAATGCCACGCTAATTTTACATGGCTTGCCCGTCTGGCCAGAATTATTTTCTCAGTATATATTGCATTAATTTCTTCAAACCATTTTAGTAGCGATAATAATACGAGACGCATCCAGAAAGTAAGTTTCCCGATGTTTTCTCCTTTAAAGTAAACGTAATTAGCCGCGTCAATTGCGCATGCGTAATAGATCCCTGACGTAGGAATCATCGTCAGGGATCGCCAGCCCAAGAGGTCCCTCGTTCCAGCAGCTTTGGAAGCTTTTATTCCTTCTCCTGTCATCTGCGAGGTTCGGTCAGTGATAAAGTTCTTGAATACGCAAAGCATTGCGAAAATTGAAATTCATCGTCAGGTCTATGGGCCGAACTTCTTGAGTAAGTAGATGGTGCGTCGCTGGTGTAAGCAGTTTTCCAATGCTCGTCCACATACGGCTCGATGCACAGATGTTTGGACAGAATTTGGCTGGGAGTTGTTTGATCATCCATCCTACAGCCCTGATCTTGCTCCCAGCGATTTTCACCTTTTCTTGCACATCAAGTAATTCCTGTCCTCCGGTGAGCGTTTTGGCAACAACGCAAAGTTGAAGACGTCTGTCACACGCTGGTTCCATTCACTGGCGACAGAGTTCTACGACAGAGGGATACAAAAGTTGATTCCACGATACAAGTGTCCCAATTCTGGTGGTGGCTATGT